TATATACTCAAGAGGGCCCAGATAGAGGGCCACCCTCCCCCACTACAGAAGAAGGCAAAAACCCCAACAGTCCATACCAACCTGATAATAGTATAATGAAGTCTTAAGCCCTCTTATACAAGGGAGGCAGAGGTTTGAACTTGTATCTCCCTGACTTCTAAGCACAGTGCTCTAACTACCACACCATAGACTTGTTTCATTCCCCTTGGCAAGTCCCCTATCACTCAGCTTTTTAAGTGAAAATATTAGACGGCTCTTTTCATTCTCCATCTAATACCCATTAATCAGAGGTCTTTGGCCACCTATGTTTTTGGGACTTCAATGCACTTGCACTTCCAGAATGTGTGCATGTACATAGCCATGTATGTGCTCAACCAGTGTGTACCCTGCTGGACCCGCTCAGTCTGCTAACACTCACTCACCCATCCATCATATAGAGGTAACAGAATTATTACCTGTATGTAAGTACCAAAACACTACTTATGTCACTAGAAAACTACCACTTGGGTGCACAAAAGTAAAGAGAATTCTGCCCATATTGTATAGAAACTGCAGACCAAATAATTTGACTGTTTCCCATTTATTTGATAGTAGATCTTAAAATGAACAAAGATTATGATAAATCATACATGTGTTTTCCTGTTACAGTAACAGCTTGATTTAAAACTCTCTTGTCTACTAAGCAGGACAATTAAGGCATGACACCATGAGTGGGAATGTGTGTTTCCCCTGGGACAAATAGCAGTGGAACATATTTGTGTCACTGCCGGTTGTCCCTGGGAATGCCCCTACACATGTGCTCTGGCAAACAGCAAATTGTGGGTGGGGTAGGGGAAGCTGGGGCCAGTACCTAGGCTGGTCTAAGCAGCCTTACCTGGGGTCCTGGGGACATCATAGGGCTGCAGCATCAGTGATCTAGGCATGCAGAGCCTGGCCAGCACCCAGAACATGGCTTCTGCTGGCCAGGCTGCAGTTTCTGGTGGTGCACACTGCAGCCATGTACACCGCCCTGCTTTTATTTGGCACATTTTTTTATATATATATCAGGATTTTCTGGTGTCCAAAACACTGCCATTCTTCAAATTAATGGAGCAGTGAATACGTACACATGCAACACGTGTGGGCTGCAGTGCCACCAATGGGCTTGTGACACTGCCAATCCACATGTGCGCAATCTACATATGCCCCATAGGGTATATATAAGCATTGCATAAAGGGCTAGGTTGATCTAAATGCCTGGCTGTGCAGGATTTCACAGGGATCAAACTGCCCAAAAATGGTGCATGCCATCTAAGTTAGTTCACCACAGGAGATCAATAAAAGATTAACCAATCTAAAACAGGTTAACCCCACCTAGTGAATGTTTCCATACATTCATAGCACATCCTTAGGGCTGGGAAAGTCCAGCTGCTTGCCAGAGTCCCAAAGCTGTGTTATTCCTACCACCCCCCTGGCTAGGGACAGACATTCAAAAACCTGAGCCTGAATTGATTCAGTCTTTGAAAGTTAGTCTAACCTGGCTAGGCTAAGCCAGCTTGTAACCATACAGACATTCCCTCTGGCCTGAAAAAATGCAGGCATATGCCTGCAGTGGCTCAGGCTACAAGCTGGGGGGTGCTAGAGCAGCCCTCCCTTCCCTTCCACAGGGCTGAGCTGAGGGGGCATGGCCAAGCCCTGGCAAAATGCTCTGGACCCCTCCCTTCTGATCAGCCCAGTGGAGAATTGATAACACAGTATTTATCCCCCATTAAGAAAACAACAGAGGGACATTACCAGCTACCTGTTGATTCTTTGTCCCATCTGCCACAGCACAGATGGTAGCCAGCATGTGGTCTGCTAGCTAATGCTGTGCGTCTGTGCAAGGCAGATGGGACTGCGGAATCCCTGTTTGGAGGGGTGGGGGGAAGCAGAAACCAGGCAGATGCCTGCAGTCTCTGTTGGAGCTGCAGCCAGGAAGCAGAGGGGAGAGGCCAGCCTCCTGTTGTGGGGCTCTTTGCTCCTGTTGTGGAGCAGAGAGTCCCACCCAGCCCAGAGAGCATGCCGGGATGTTGGAGGACTCTGATTTAACTTAAACCAGCAAGAGGTCTGGGACAGACATTACATAAACCGGTTTGACCTAAATCAGTTAAGTCTGATGCTACATTCGACCAGGTTTATCTCAAACCAGTTTCAGCCATTTTCAAACAGGTTTATGTGCACTGAACATCTGTTCTGTTACAGGCCTAAACCAGCTTCTGATCACTTAAAATGGTTTATGTGTAATGTCTGTCCCTAGCTCCTGAGCCTGATCAGGCTGTGTATTGCCCCCCAAATACTTTCCCTGGACTTGGCAACCTCCTCTGAGGACCTATCAATTCCTCCCCTAGACCTGCCAGTTCCCCTATGATCTTGCTAGCCCCTACCTCTTCTGGGCTAACCATGATGAGCCCTGCAGCAGTGAATACCTGCACGTATTGCTCCTGGTTTTGATTTAGGCAACCTAACTTAAGCTACCTAATCCTCAAGCAGATCCCATGAATGCTTGTTTGCATCTTTACACTTCTTCTGAGGCCCCATTAAGCTCAGTGGTGATTTCAGTAGCAAGGAATGACAGATGTGTCTGCAAAAGGGGAATGGAATGTAAAGATGCTCTTTCTATAAGCTAGAAATGTTAAAATGGCCACACGGTTAAAAAAAAAAAGTATTGAGATCCGTCTGCTATGTACAATGATTACTATTGTTCATATACAAACAATGGGCTAGGTACTTAGCTGATGGACATGGGCTCTTTCTGCCCCAAATCTAAAATATAGAATAAATATGTAACAGAAAAGTAGAATAACGATAAATGTTTCCACGTAATACTTTTTGTTACATGTTTTTAGTGAATTTTTTTTTAAAGCAGAAGACAATGGCACAGAAAAGGCTGCAACTTATCAAATAAGCCTATGTGATGTAGAAGTTTTTTTACAATATGATCCCTAAATGAATATTAAATTGAAAAACAATTCTGCTGAAGATCTAGTAGTAGGTATGGATATTATTCTTGGACATAGGATAACCTAAGACCTTTCAGCAACTGCAGTTAGTAAGTATGTAACTGTAGATTCAAGGCTCTATTGAGGTGTATTTCTCCTTGGGGCTAGGACAGACATTGCATAAACTGGTTTACGCCAAATTGATTAAGTCTGATACTACATTCAACCAGGTTTATCTCAAACTAGTTTCAGACATTTTGATACTTGTTTATGTGCACTGAATGTCTGTTCTGTTACAGGTTCAAACCAGTTTCTGATCACTTAAACCAGTCTGTGTGTAATGTCTGTCCCTAGCTTTGCAGCATACCATAGCTGCAGAGGTACTTTAATAAACATTCTCCTAATGAAACCATGAGAGCTGGAAGCAAAATGTTTTAATCAATGAATCTTTGACTACCCTCTTTCTTAACTCAGCGGCCAAGTTGTTGACAAGCAGGTCTTGCAGCAAACCACATCTGTGATGCCTGTTCTTATCAGGGTAATAGAAGTTCTTTGTGGACACACATTTCTGAACTGAAAAAACTAAAAAACAAACAATCTCCTCCCTCTGCCCCATAATACATTATCACCCCCTGATCTAAAGAGCCTATAGAAAAGGAATGTTCCTAGCAACATTATTTGTGAAACTAAAACAGAATCCACAACCTGACTTTGGCATTGATTATGAAAAAAGAAGGATTTTGAATATGAAAAGAAAACCTGGAAACATTACTTCCTAACTGTTGATGTGGGAATGTTTTTTCTAACCTTGAATTTAAGATGTTTGTGGCCTGGGTAAGACAAGTCATCAAAAATGAAAATAGGGTGATATTGTGTTCCCATGTATGAATGAAACTACAAGCATTGGGGAAAACATCTCTCAAAAGGTTCATTGATGGCTCATTAACTTCCTGATCCATTTCTGTGTGCACTACTGATACTAAACTGACCTTTCACAATTCAGGCTTCACAAGCACTGCGAGGAGCGATCTCTGCATTATTGTCATTGAAACTTAGCCTGTAGGGACACATAACTAAGTGAAGAAAGATACTTTTAGCTGCTTTCATGTCTCAAACACAATAAAGGATAAGAATGAGATATTTATCCCATGAGTGAACGCCCTGAAGCAGTTATATGTGGTTGGCTTAGTGGAGATCTAAGAATCTTCATTTGACACACTGGCCACTTTCCAAATGAGAAATCAATGATTCTGTATTCTGAAGCAAAGGGAAATAAGAATAGTTTATGGCTCTTTGTTCTACATATAGTATGTATCCAGTCAAGCTCTGAATTATAAAGAGTTGATGACGGGAATTCAGCAAACAGCCCCACGTCAAATGAGGACAGACTTCAGTCGCAAAAGGTACATTCTGGCAGGAGTCTACACAGACAGTGGCTTGTTGGCTTCTGGAAGTCAGCCTGTATGGAGATAAATATATGTAGCACAAGGGCAAAAAACAATAGGGATTTTCTGTGTTGAGAAAAGTCAGCTCATTAGATGCAAGATGGTTTTGTTCCTGTGTAATATATTTGCAGAAAATATGAGGTGGGTGAATAGACAGCCTGCCATTATGGCTGTTCAGTTTAGCTACTGCTTAAAAAAATCAAAACAGATATAATCTATGCTGAAATAATAGTAAGCAAAGTATCTGGCATTTATATATATTTCCCTAATACTTGCAGTATTCATATGGTTTAAATCTGAATTTAAGTTACCAGAAGCAAGCACCATTTTCTTGTTTATTAGTAGAATATTCCACTGTGGAAAACGAACCCTCCCAGGACTCCATGCAGTTCAGTTTGTTACTGTTATGCCACAGGGGTAACAACAGAAGAGGCTGAATAAGAGCACTTATAAAAAGCCCTTGCACATGCTATTTGGAGCTTTTGCCTCGTGCTGAAATAGAACATATTTCAGTCTATTTGGGATCACACATTATAGCAACATCTCAAACAACCAAACAAGATGGTCACACTGTTCCCCAATGCTTTGCTTACCTCTATTAGTCAGGAGACTAAAAAAAATATACCTAAACAACTAAGAAAAGAAAGCTAACCTATATCTTTTAAATTATTTTTTCCACTTGTACACTCAAATAGTAATGTGATCTTTCTGGTTGGGCTGACAGCCTTTAAGAACTCGGACCCTCATTTACAATGCTTTTGGTGAGTTCACATCAGAGTACTAAACCAAACTGTCCTATTACTGCAGTTCCATACTCTTGTGAGCAAATAACAGCCTTTAGGGCTTCAACGCATCAGCTGCTTAAAAGATAAACCTACCCAGCTTGATGAGAAGTCTTCACCACCTTCCTGTTGAGAGCAAATGGTCACACACATCTAATAAATGAAGCAGGAACTGTCATTTTTTTGGCAAACTGATAACTAGCTGCAAGAGCCGCATTGCCACAAGTTGCTTTTCCAAAGTAATTACCATCAGGCTCCCTGTGGTATGCAGCGTTTAACACATTTCTTCTGTGTTAATGAATGCAAGAGTAGGCAACACCACTATTAGTAATTGCTTTTTATTCGTAGTCCTCATTTTCCAGATAGGTCACATAAAACACAGCCATTAAACAATAGCGGTTGAGATAATCCATACAATGTATGCTGCTTTTGATTGTTTGTGTTGTTCACCAATGACCTGGTGCAGCTTTGAGCCGTACGGGGATATAGGGACTGATATATGTGAACTGCTAACCTATGGAACAGTTGGGCTAAAGAAGTTAAAACCTTAGTCAGGTTTCATTCAGTTACACTTCAAATCAGCAAATCTTGATATCCAAAACTCACATCTGAATTAATGCACTGATAAATGCTGCCTGATGTCGAAAGAATGTAATTAGACAATAACGAGTAGGAATATATTATGCCAGACTTCAAACTACTTGTTGACCTCAGCAACTTCTACTCCATTAGGCAACAAACAGCTTGAAAGCTGGTTTGAATAAAGCATCCAGCTCCATTACTAGCATCTGCATGACTTTTATGGTTATATTTCTGAATGGGCAACCTCCTGCATACTGCAATGGCAAATCACAGTTAAGGATAAGCTCACTTCTGATGGACAAGCAAAGAAAAAATAATATTTTTAGCGAATTTGAACCCCTGGTTTGTTGGTCAACATCTCTTTGAAATCACAGGAAATGATACTCAGTTATTTGTATAAGTGGTATAGATTTCCAACTCATAATTATAATTTTCAACTCATAAGTGACTGCATAATTTTGTTAGCTATCTAATGGGATTTTCTCCATATCAGTTATCTTTTTTGCAGTCATCTGCTGGAAGTTTCACTTAGTATTAAAAATCACTTTCAAAAAGGTGCCCTATGTACATAAAGAATACAGGAAATAATTCATGGACCCAAGCTTAAATTATGTCTCAACTCTTCCTCTCAACAATTCCTGGTAGTGACAGCAGGAAGTTTGAAGGATAAAAAGTTAACTTTATTTCCTCCATATATGGTATTTTTAATCACTTCCCCTGATTCTGACTGACCTAACAAAACCCATGTTTGTATAAATTCTATTGGTTGATTATGTATCGCTCCTAAATTCTGATATTACAATCTTGGATACCCTCACTGGAAACAATGTGCCAGCGATCCACAACGCAAGGCAGTTGTCTGCCAAATTAAATAAAACAAGATTTCCTAAACTCAGCTATAAAGCCGTGTGTCATGAATTCTGAATTACCTCACCAGGGCAAATAAATAATCACTACTAAATACAGATAATGTGTTAAACAGCTAAAGCTAGTAAATCACTAGTGACAGAGAGCCTTAAGGTAAATTCCTTTCACACTGGTACAGCCCTTTCTCAGAAGAGCCCTTGTGTTTTTATGACTTCAGACACATACAATGAATTGTACAATTGGATACTCAGTGTTAAAATTGTGTATAAAGCACAGAAGACTCCATCATTTAAGTTTTGCTGAATAATGAATCTCGCTGCCAGAGCTAAATGCTTGGAACCTCAAACACAAGAGCAATGGGCCCTACAGAAATTAGTATAAAAGACAGATGAAACTAAAAAGGGGTCCGTCCTTTCCACTATGGAATTTCAGCTATCAAGCAAAAATCAACCTTGAGTCTCCTGGCAAAAAAAATATTGTAGAACAGTCAGCCACACATTCTGGATACCTAAAATTGTCCAAAACATGGAACATAGTTTGATAAAACACAGACTAGATCATTTGTTCACATAAGATTATAGCTTTTCTAAATAAAGCTTTTGGAATGGCCATCTCCAAGAATCAAATACAAGTCACTGTAGGACTGATAGATATGATCATTATTTTAACAAAATGCCCAGCATCATAACCATCTGTTGGCTAACTTTGTTCCTGAATTGAATAATACTGTATGGCTTTGGGGGATCTGAAAGGGCAAACCTAGTTTTTGTATACATTTAAAAATATGACTTAATTTAGCTCAAATATGACTCAATCCAGGACCACAATTTTCTATACCGGTATATTATGGTGCTATATCACAGAGCTTTTAAAATGTCTATGGGAAAAATGTTTTTCCTTTGCTATTCCTTATACTTGTGCTCATTTCATTTTAAGCATATATTTAAAAATGATATTTTTTTCAGCTTTGACCTGGAACCAGTTTTGTAATTTATCAAACACTATGAAGACATTTAGAATGAAACATGGAAAGTAATTCCCTCTCAAATTTTTCCAAAGAAAAAATAGCAAAATAACTTAAAATAAAAATAAAATAATACCAACAGCCCAGACCCATGAATTTACCAAATCTTCACACATTCTAAGGAACCAGACAAAACAGCATTCATGCCATGTGGGCATTGACTCATTTTCAGGCTCTGTACTTAGCAGTAGCATAAACATAAGCATACTAGGATCATTTTTTAATTCATACAAGAACGTGATAGCGAAACAAATTGGTTGCATATGTGTTTTTGGAAAAAAGCAAGGAGGTTTCAGGTGTTGGTTCAAGTGTAATTTTTGTTATTAAGCATGGGTTTGCAATAGAAGCTTCTACAAGGACTTGCACATAACCATGACTGATGGATGTATTTGTAGGCCGTTCAGTTAGCTCCATCAGCTCACTCAAACACATTTTGAACGGATTATGTACTGCAGTACTTTGTAGACCATACATTAAACAAGAGACTTTGCTCTGAGGCACTGCTTCCCACACTCCATGGGGAAAAGGAAGCAGGAAAAACAAAACTCATAGAGTTCGACAGCTACTGAGGCAACACTTGCCATTTACAATATAAGCCCAAATATTTTTGCAACACAACTATATATTAATTTAATAAAATACACAATATAGCTCTTATACACTCAACAATTTGGCTCATATGCACTGAATCTGCAATAAATCAATAAAAATATGTCATTTGATGTAAACACACTGAATTTTCTTACATTTGCACATTTAAATGATCATGTGATTTGTGTGGATGTCTAAGACATTTTCACTTTCCTGAGCTATTTTAGTGTCCACAAATGAATAAAAAAGTGTTAATAATGTTAATTATTTTCATTTATTACCCTTCAAAGGTAACTATTTCTGCAAACTTTTATTATACCTCAAATTTATTTAAAACTGCTAACTATTTATATTTTTGTTGGACACTAAAACGCTAAACAGACACTAAAACCTTTTTTTCTTTTTATCAAGTGAATTAGCTTATGTGTGTGCAGGACAAAATGGACTATATCATTTTACATTTAACTTTAATATGATATGAAGTGTGTTACTAATGACCAGGATATGTTTTGCTGAAAAATGATCTGGAATGGGTTTTTGTTTGCTTTTCTTTTTGTGGCAGGTAACTTTATACAGAAATGTTTACCACAAATGAATGTTAATGTTTGGTGTCGCTTGGACTACTACAAGATCTTTTTTAGGACTTTCAGTAGAAGCCTGTGATTACTGTTGGAAATCCATCACAGATCTGAATTATTCAACCCTGTTTTTCATGGGGTTTACAGGTAAACAGTAAAGTCAGCATCAACTATTAAGGACAGTCTTAAAACAGCAGACGTATTTCCATTCCTCCTTTCTCATACCTTCCTATCAGATTGTCAAAATGGCACCGTCTTTCTTCATTTTTAGTTCTTAATGTACTTCACTCTGTCCTAATGAAAGTTTGGTCAAAACGAAACCAGTGTTATCTGTGAAAAAGAAAGAGCAGTGAAAAGAACATACTTGTGGGCACTTCAGATGTTCACTAAAAGCCTTAAAGCAGCATTGGTCTTCCTTCATCCCTGTAAAACTGTTACAACCAGGGGAGATTTTTTGTTTTGTTTTTTAAATCAGCAGAAGAGGCAAATAATGCCAGCCTATCCCCCCTTTTTTTCTCACTTTCTCACAGCCACAGGGTCACTTCCCCGACAGTCCTGTAAAAGCTTGTCAATTTCTCTCACAACTTCCTCTGCATCCACTGACTCTCTCCCTAGATCCCGGTTTGAATGGTCTAACTGCTCCAGAACAGAGTCCATCTCACTTGAGTCTCGGTTCACTCGGGAATGTACATCTGCAAAGACCCTAGCCATCTGATCTGATGCAATGAATGTAGTGTCTCTTGACTGTTTACTAGGTGATAGATACTGACTGTCAGTTGACAGGTACTGGCTGCTTGGTTCAGCCAAGGCTCCTGATTTTACTTCACAACCATCCAGTGGTCCTTTTGTTGAGGTGCAAGGCTCAATGCATGTCTTGGTTGGGCTGTTCGATGCTGAGGGAACCTCCTGAAGAAGAGGACTCAGGGCACGTTTGGCTTTTAAATAAGGTTTAACATTGGCAATGAGAATAGTGTGCTCTCTCTTGTCTTTTCCAAATGTACAAAAAGTCTTTTTCCCGGTGGGATTCACAGTTTCGTAAGTCTCAGTCTCAACATTAGCTTCAACTGTGGGTACAAAGAGATTTGTGCGATAATCTGCATTTTCAGCCTGATTGGCTGTAGGGAACTGTGGCATCCAACACCTGTCAGAATGACCAAGGACTCTGCATTCATCTGTACAGTTAACACACTCTTCTTGTTCTGTAAAGAAGAAAAAAAAAGGGGAAAAAAGGCTGTAGTTATTAGGGGTTCTTTTAAACTAATACAGAGGCTAGAATTAACTGTCAGTGGGCTTGCTTGACCTCCAGGTTCTTAATTATTAAAAAAAAAAGCAATAATTAAAATATTTCAGGGGGAGTGCAAAAACCAACTGGTTGAGACAATGGATTTATATACTCTATTCTCTAGGTATTAAAGTATTCACATAGCCCAAAGGAAGTAAAAAGGGGTCATTAGAGAATCACTCTCAGTGGAATTTTGCTTCATCTGTAAACTAATCCGCTGTAGAAATCTGTTAGGCTTTGTTCTGCAAAACTCATCCTAGAAAATAGTGAACGGTACTTAAAGAACTCAAAAGGCTTTATCAGGATTAATTTTTCAAATCAAATAACTGAGCAATGACTGACTTTCTGGAAATACAAATACTTTACAAAATCAACAAGCTGAAGTTTCATTTTTGTCACCTCCATTTTGTTTGTAATTGTTATGGTGGGTGACAGTCATGAAATAAAAAGGTTTTCTTGAAAAGCCTACTTTTTCTGCTGAGAGTAGAGAACTGGAATTTTCTATCAGTATGCATTAAATATAAGCTTGTCAAAAAGTGCATATTGCAATTTTATTAAACTTGAGTATGGATCATGTAATCAGTTTTCTCCTTTTTTGTTTTGGAGCAAGCATGTGAAAATGGATTTGCTCAATACGTATAATTTGGAAGAATGACAAACCGTGACACGCTATGTGAACTGATAATGCTGTCAGTCTAGATTTTTATATTTCTATTTTATCAAAAAGATGATGGAATATAGCTAAAGACTTTTTTTTTTAATCCACTGTATTTTAGAGCCTAAGTTTGGGTGCTTCCAGTTCTACAATTCAATTTAAAGGTCTATAGGAAAACTTTAAAAAATGTATTTTGTCTGTCATCTTATGCCAAACCAATATTTCTGGACTGCCATTATTTATCATATAACACTACTGTTTATGTGACTCTAGCCCTATGTCAATACACCAGAACATTTCAGAAATATCCTTTGAATCTCTTTTTAAGTTATTTTTGATTGTGAAGGGAGCTATACTCTCATCTTCTCAGCCAATCCTGAAAAAGTATATCTTTTTTGTCTTGTGACTTGAGTTTCCAATACAATGTTCCCCATCTGACAACCATTTCAATGAGTTAAAGTTAACAGAAGGACATACAATCTTTGTCTTTTCTTTCCTTTCCTTTTTGTTTCTTTGAAGGAATTGGTATCCATAACATGTTTACATCTAAGATTATAACTGGACTAAAATTCTGAATTTGTGTTTGAGAAGGTGATGCATTCATGTATGAATCTGAGATGCACACATATGGGACTGATTCTGAGAAATGCTGAATTTTTTAACCCTAAGGCCAGATACATGCAGGCACGTGCAGTTTGTGATGCTGCAAACCTCTTTGCATTGCACAAACCACACACATTGCATGTTAAACCATGTGCCCTACTGCTAATTTTCAGCCCTGGAGCAAAAAAACCCCCAAAAAACAACCCTGCAAAAAAAGCAGTGCAAAGCACAGCAAAGTGACATGTGTTGGGACAAATACCAAGATGGGGGCTACACATGCCTCAGCACCAGCCCGGAGCCTGCTGCCCCATCTCGAGACACATGGTACCCCAGCCAGGTAGGGACTGGCTGGCAGGGGGGGGAAGGGTGCCTCAGTGCTGGGGCTCCACAGCACATAGATATAGAGAAGCAAGCAGCCCAGAGCTGGCTGCTCCCCCGTCTCCACATGCTGCTCCCCAGCTGGCTACCCACCATGGCCTCAGTATCGGGGCTCCCTGCTGGCTAGCCCCATGCTGAGGCACCCTGTGCCCCAGCCAGCCCCTCCTGCAGCACATGGAGCAGCAGGACAATGTGTCCTGCTGCAAAAGACACCAGCAGGGGCATGCACTGAAGCACAAAGTAGTGACACAAATTTGTGCTGCTACTATTTGTACTGCTGCAAATGCATGCCCCTGCACGTGCAGATGTGGCCTTAGAGAACATCATTTTTTCAGGAACTGACTGCAAACACTTAATAATCTTATACCACATCATCATAGAGATTAGAGTTATATAAACATCCATTGAACGATGCTGCCCACAGAATAAAATACAAAGGTTCATCTAGAAAAATGAAATATTGTAACTCAGCCTTGATTGTAAAAAGACATGAATCAATCATGAGATAAGTTTAAATCCTGCAAGAACTACTTCACAGTTAGGGTGGCTAGGATCTGGAACCAACTTCCAAGGGAAGTGGTGCTGGCTCCTACCCTGGGGGTCTTTAAGAAGAGGCTCGATGCCTACCTGGCTGGGGTCATTTGAGCCTAGTTTTCCTCTTGCCCAGGCAGGGGGTCGGACTTGAGGATCTGCAAGGTCCCTTCCGACCCTACTTCTATGAAATCACATTGTATTATATTGCTTAATTATGACCAGGGATCCTGGTTTTGTCTGATAAAAAAAAAAAAATCCCCATTTTTTTAAATTAAAAAAGTAACTAAAAATCCACATTTTTCCATGATTAAAAATGCAACACCACTAATATACATATATATATAGATATAGATCTATCTATCTATCTATATCTATATAGATAGATATATATTAGTGGTATAGAGATAGATAGATAGATAGATACCTATATATATCTATATCTGTATAGATATAGATATCTATATATAGATGTCTATACCTGTATATAGACATCTATATATAGGATATCTATATATATCTGTATATAGATATCCTATACATAGATATCCTATTCAGTATATATATCTATATACAGATATAGATATCTATATATAGCGGTGTTTCATATTAATCACAGAAGAATGTGGATTTTGGGTTACTTTTTTAAATCTGAAAAGTGGGGATTTTTTTTTTAACAGAGAAAACCAGGATCCCTGATTATGAGTTCAGTTAAATTATACTGAGGGAGTAAGCTTACATATATTAATAATCATATATGAAGTGTGGTTAGTGTATGCTGTGCTTTATATAAGTTCTCTGCCCGAAATGCTTAAAACCTAAGATAGCCGAGATAAACAAATACAAGACAAAGAACATCACTGAAGGGAGAAGACAGTTCAGAGCATCCTTAAGGAAGACAATACAGCAGGATTTCAGAAAGAAATAAGAATTGTACATCTGAGCAAGAAGCAACTGGGCAAAGAGGAGGAGGTGAAGTGAACATTGTGGAATCCACGGAATAAAAGAAGCTAATGAAGTGAAGAAAAGAGATAAGCCTGAGGAGAGTTAAAGGACTGGGATCGAAAAATATGAATGAGATGAAAATGATATGCACGCAGACACACAGCATTATGTATGTGACAATAGTTTGTTGACACAAATGCAGAGCCACACAAGTAAATACATTTTTCATATACCTGCCATATGTTTATGTATATCAGGTCTACTTCTCCTTTCTATCCTCTAAGCAGCTTCAAACAGCTGCCACTTAAAACAACCAAATGAAATATTAACTGTCAACCCTCTTATCTCCACCTCCCATCCACACACACAAGGGAAAACATTTTTAAACCACTCCAAACCAAACTAAATAGAACTTCCCTCAGCCTGCAAAGATATGCAATCAATAGTGGCATATCTTCCTGACATTACACAGTCTAAGGTGCAATATCACTTTCCGGACAGATATAAAGTCCAATCCATCATAACCTTGAAGACCTATACCATTAACGGGAGAAGTCAGGTTTTAATATGGGCAGACAAGGTTAGTATTCGCTATGGTACACCTTTAAATGCTATATTATGTATGGCAAAAAACTCCCTCTCTCTGGAGACTTTTTGATCCTTTAAATTGTGAGGTGCTTGCTTACAATTTCATAGTCATACATTTTCTTTCCCTCTGAATTCTATATAGTTGGCTTCACGATAACTTAAGGCACCTGCTTGCATAGGTTTATTAGAGTTCTGTGATACAAAGAATGAATACTACTGTTTGAAAATCTTTAAAACATTTCTAAAATTATTTTCTTGTTAAATATGTGGCATACAAAGAATACATGACAATGTGATAGAAAAGTTTTATGGCTCTCTTACAGTGTTTCCTGAATAACTCACTTGTTTCTTGATCTCTGAATTTTGCTTTGTAACCTTAACAGCCTTTTAATACATATTTTGTTTGGAATTTCTGAGGTTTCAAAAAAAAACCATAGGACCATCAAATATTATATTAAATAGGCAGCTATAGTAGAATGCTCTGTATAACAGAATCAGTCTTTCTTACTTCCCTCTCTGCCCTCAGTTAATCATTATATCAAGACAAGCCACCTTTCTTTGCTTCCTTTCCTACACACCACCTTTATTTTTATGGAGAGAGAGAGTGCTGACTATGAGCTTCCTTAACATATACCATGTACACATTGCCCAGGGAAAGCTGGCAAAATCGTGCATATTATCACACAGCCCAACACAACCACTAAAAGGCACATTTAAACAGGAGAGATGCTAAATTTCAAGTTTCCAACAAGGATCAATGTGGCATCAGACTGATATAAAAATGTGTACATAATTATACATGCATATTATAATAAAATGTATTTTTCACTGTCTCATTCTCCAAAACATTTGAAACATGCTTGCTTAAAAATATTCCTTGAACAGAGAACAAAACAAACTTCAATCCAAAAGCTAAAGAACCCCCAATGTATACAAAACTGAAAATACAATATAAAATGGAGTATATGTAGAACAGTAACTATAGATCTGCCTCTGTACCCTGTCTTTAATGTACAAAAAAAGACTACGGTTTCCACATGTGACTAGGGTAGATATAAAGATGAACTCTGGGGCTAAAATCCCCAGTAACTTTGAAATTCTTAGCCTATTTGAATTTATGTGTGTGTTCATATATATAAAAAATAGCTACATACCTGTGTGTGTGTGTGTGTGTGTGCACACATGCATGTAATGTACTCTATTTACGCTATTCATTTTATCAGGAAAGCACATAAGCAAAACCTGTGATTAATATACTTGGTAATCCCTTTAACTGTAATATCTATTTTTTACATATTTATTTATCTTCTCTCTCGTTTCCTGAATTTACTAAAGCAGTTTTTATACTCGCATTCATACTTGCAGTATTGACTAACCTTCCATTTCTGCTCCCTGGGCATCCTAGCACTGACTGAATTAAATATGAAGCAAAAAAGAGAGAATAGTTTTGTGAGGAAACAAATACAAGATGACCTTGAAGAGAAAACCACCAGGACTGCATGAGCTTTTGCTCTACAATGCTGAAAATCTGTAGATTTTTACTTCACTCTTTTATGTCACATCATAAGAAGCAGATTTGGAGTATTGATTATCATACATTATAAGCTGCTCACCTCACCATTAGCCTGTAATTTTGACTGCTGCAGCTAGCAGACAGTGAAGAAAATCGAACAGGCACTTTTGTACTAGCAGCAGAAACTATAAACACAAAGTGAACTATCACCGCCAAGGGCCAAATTAGTATTTATAAGAAAACAGAATCAATTTAAAGGTAAAAATAAATATATAAAATAGGTCATAGGCAACCCTGTACAGCAAGGTGCACTGGTAGGGTGATATGCACCATCGGTCTTTATCTCTACTCTTGTCTACCTCCTGTTGAAAATAAACCCTTAACAATCCAAGTGTGTACAATAAACAGCAGCAGCCTAGAGGCTTTTGCAAATCTCTGGAGCTTTTAGGGTAAACAGTCAGAAGTGCTCTATGCACTTTAGGGAGAACATATACTAAAATAGACCTGCTAAATTATCAGCCATAGAAAGAAAAGGAAACAAGCTACCTGGAAAACTATAGTTACCTAGATTGGAAATCTATAGTGGAAAGAAAGCTAATATAACATAAGAAGGAGGCTTGCTGGCAAAATCTAGATTTTATCATGTAAACTATATATTTTTGTATATAAACTGACTTATTGTTTTAAGCTATAACAAAAGCTAAATCAAACAATGGTCTTTTGTACTAAGTTACAATAAAGGATACTTTTATTGTGCTTTCTCTTTCCCCATGCTTTTTCTGATCCTTGAAAAGAAATTAGAATAAAAATGGTGGTTTCAATACAGTTCTGTTTACAGAACATGCACCTTGCACTACAATAATAACTGGTTGTAGTTTCATACTGCTGGTTCCTTTCAAATGGGTATAACAAAGAAAAAAATATCATGATTTCACTTATTAATTATATGAAGTTCTGATATGGATAGTAAAGCAAACAAGTAAGGTGTCAAGATCTTATTTCTGATTTACATAATTAATACTATTTCACATTAATTGGCTTCTAGATGTTTATGTTAAATTGGTGAAAAAAAAGAAAGAAAAAAGCTACACTTATTAAACAAGCAAATAAAAATCAACAAACCACCAAAATCCCAGCATACAAAACTATTGCTAGAAACACTTTCTGAGCTATATGTATAATAAAAAAAAATCTTTGCTAATTATATCCAGTTTTTGTACATAATGTAATAAGGCATATTCATGTTTGTGCGTATGTGCAAGGTTGCATTTCACTTCAGTATAAACAATTGCATAGTACACCTGTCCAAAAAAATCCTACAGTACTCTGCATTTACAGTAGACACCCTTGGTCAAATCCTGTTTGCTTCACACACACTTCACTGAGTGGTTGACCTGTTAAATGATGACTGGAGTACATTTTTGGCCTAAAATTTAATTCTTATACTTTTTAACAAGTGTAGTCATGTGCCACTGTGTAGGGTTGTAACAGGGCTATACAAGAGAATGTTTAGGTAGATAGGTAGATATATTTTGTAACACTGTGTATTGTAAGATATAAGCATTCAAATCAGGGCTAGGACCTGGGTGAGCCCCATGCTCTGGGGGCCACGTCAGTGGGACTGACATGCTGTGTGGCCTGCACCAGGTGATCCATGGGCCACCAAGCTGTGTAGATGCTCCCCTCCACTGCTGCAATCTGTGTTCTCCCCTCTCTCCCCACAACTGGTGCACCATGCAGGTGCAATTTCCCATTCTTCCCCTCTCCCACTATAATGTGTGCCCTTACAGGTACCCCACCCAATCCCCCACTGCAATACCCTTCTCCCCACCTGCCAGTGCAGCCTGGACTCACTCTCAGCTGGCACTGCCCTGCCACCTGGGGTGAGCTCAGGAAGTGGCAGCCAGAGGAGGGAAGGAGAGAGCGTGGAGGCCCTGGCTGCTCTTGTAGCTGGAGCAATGGGAGGGTGGCAGCCGGATGAGACCCCGGGGACCGCAACTTAACCTCTTGCAGGCCACATGTGGCCTAAAAGCCACCAGTTGGACAGCCTTATTTTAAGTAATAAAGGAAAGAACAAGTAAGAATCTGTCTTCATAGAACAATACAGTGCTCTGAGGAAATACCCAAAGCTAGCATGAATAGCTCAAGCACTGAAGTTTACACAATGTAGCACCTTGCAGAGACACCCAAGTTGGTTCTGAATTTGAATACTGAAGAACCAGAAGTGATACAGCTACATCAGCACAGTGATACAGTAAAATAAGCCCTACTTCTTAGCAAATTATCTCACAGTGCCATGCTAATGTGGCTATACTGCTTCTAGTTCCAGAGCCAGTGCACAAAACTAGCTTAGGGTATCTCTGCAAGGTGCTGTCTCACATATCTGCTTTAATTTTTTTCCATAGATGAACAAGAATTAGAAATTTTGTAGTTTTTTTTTAATACAACATTATTATTTTCTCAGCTGATGCTTGCATAACCTTCATTCATCTCACATATTTAATATACTAAATGCTTTACCTTCTTTCAAAAAACTTATAGTACGAAATCCTGGTTCTGCAACAATCAGCAAAAGTTTTGCCACTGATTTCAATAGGTTTATTATTTTAGTTTTGGTGAAACACTCTTATGTCTGAGTTTTTTTCATTTGTTCTCCTTTATAAATATTGAATATAAAAAACAAATAAATACAACCCTACAAACCACTCACACAGCACTCACATGTCTAAGGAGTGAGAAGGAGTTTGTGGGACTGGGCTTAAAGCGTGCATCATCCTGTTCTAAAAGCAAGTGGCTGCAGACAATGAAATTACTGTCCAATCCTTGCTCTCAAAATGTTCTCTTTCTTACCGCATTACAAAATGAACAATATTTTCTGACCTCTGTCACACACTAAAGAGAAAAAAGATCTGCCTTTGGATGCATGCACAGAGTTCATACTAACTTCCTGTGGTACAGGATTCACTTAACCTTTGGTTCTGTGGATGCATATTTATTATTGAAAATATTTACATTTGAAACTCAGTAATGAAATAGTTTCATAGCTCTCTGGATTGTACATATCTTTAGTTTGACTGCACACAAAATAATACAAAGTTAAAAAAAACAAAACAGCATGCACTTTGGACCAATAGAATAAATTGTTTTAGAAATTGTTTTAGTGTCTTGACATATGACATAATACTAAATATTGACTGCCTAAATGTATGTGCATCTCTGTATAAATAACTGAAAAATGAATTGCATAAATTGTCCAAAAGGGAATATCAATAATTTTCCTTTCAGAACTACAGCTAATAATTCCTGGAATATGTTCAGAAAACCTCACAGAAGTGATGTGGAAAGGGTGTCTCACTTTTGATTTCAGGGAGACAATTGCCTTTACTGATAAAATGTGAACTGAAAAGATTATTACAAGGTATTTATTATAGAGGAAAAATAATGCTTTTCCTGACATGTCTTACATAGCGGGGTTATATGACACTTGTGATGAGAACAATCAACTAAAGTACTACTTCTGAGGTTTGATTCCTATTTAATTACAATTGATTTTGACATAAATAAGGAGAAATAAACAAACACTTCCATGCACATGCTCCCAGTTATTAAATAGGGCTGTCTTAAATCTGCATATTTATATTGACTTGACTATTGAAAGGTTTCCTTCAGTTAGGCAAAGCAATTAGATAGCAGAATGATTGACAGTAAAACCAAAATGGGCTGCCATTTTTTAAGCTCTTAGCTCTTGTGAACTTTTCTTTTGGTATTACAACTATCAACATACGAGGATTATTACCCTTAAACAACATTCCCCTCCAGGACTCCTGGATACAGGATAAGGGGAGTATGTTTCTAATACTGATGTAGCATAAAATATTTCAAAGGCAATAAACAGCTGGTGGGACAGTAGAATTAATCCTAGTTCATTGCCGCTGTGCTAGACCATAAATATTTTAGACATATTTCAGGGCTGAACTGATCATTAAATCACAGCACATTAAAGAATCTTTAATAAGTAGGCTTTGAAATCATACTGGTTATTAAAGAGTTAGTGGCAGTCTCATATATTTTTGGAGGAAAGAATAAGAAAATGCATTTGTTACCTGAAAATTTTCCTTCCTCACAGCGGGCTGGTCCACAGATCCCAACAATGGGTCTTTGGCCTCTGCCTTGCTGTTCTGCAGGCAAATCAGACCTGTGAGTCACAGACAGGGACAGCTTCCACTTCCCCCACATCCCCAAAATGTAAGGAAGTCCACAGTTGCAAAATACTGCCTAAACCATGGCAAGTACCACGTTGCCCAGAAACCACTTTTGGCCTTTGACCCTTTAAACTCCGCTCTTCAATTTGTACCTGACTGTGAACTGAGTCATTCCTGCAATTTTTAAAAGAAAATGCTTGAAACAGTCCCACCACTATGGTGAAGGAACCATGCTTCCCATGCAAACCAAAATAATTCTGATGTGTGGTGAGAGCTCTTTGGACACTGCTGTCCTATTTCAGCTGCAAACAGTTTTCCTACTGGACACGTGCTGCATCAGAGGGGCTCAGGTACTAGGCACCATATTATCTGCTTCTCAACCTGGCAGTACAAAGCACCAGATGAACAGGAAAAGAAGCAGAGCGGCTGCTCAAGGCTGAGGAAGAGTTCACTTCCCTCCTACAAGGGAAAAGAGAAATTGAGAATGAAGAAAAGGTTTTGGCTCTCCAGCCCTTTGCCTCTTAAGATGGCTGGGGAAGACAGGTGTGTACCTGTTCTAACGTGATAGTTATTGGTTACTAAAGGACCCTATACCAGCTGCAGAAAAATTGAATAGCACATACAGAGCCTCTTCCACATCCTGACATTAAAATAAGCCGTGAGTCAGGCCACAAGGAAGAAGGTATATGAGTTAGGCTACACTGGCTCTATATTTGTGGAGGGATGCCCATGCTAAATACAGCTGCTGGTGATTTGCACAGCCTAACTAGCTGGTCTAAACTGACAAACTCTTAGTTTTTAAATTGTGAATACAGTGACTGCTTGCTGTAGAACCCAAGAGTTGTTTCCTGGAAAAGAAGAGAAACAGAACTGCAACAATTAGCATGACGCAATACATCTATGGATCTATTTAATAGAACATTACAAACTAACACATTTTCCTTTTCTTGTTCACAGTCAGGTCCATGGATTATTCAATGCAATTTTATCAGTATTGCCCCATTAGATGGAATTTCCTTAGTAATAGTATCTGACTGAACTAATTAATTCTTTACAATAATTCATAACATATTCGTTCTCTTTTACTAAGATGCTGTATGGTATAGCAGCCCATTAGCAAGTGTATCAACTGATCCGTTATGTCTAAGTCGAATTATTTGGTAAACACTACTTGGGTCCCAGTCACTGAAAATAAATAGTAGGCTGTACAATCTACTTAGAGATAAAAAAAGAACACATGGCTGTGACAGACAAAAGCAACAAATTGGGGGGAATAGACAAAGGTAGTGAAAATATAATTCCACTGCTGATAGATAATTCCTGAAGATAACATAGGTTTTGTTAAAAAAAAAATATATATATAGAGAGAGAGAGAGAGAGAGAGAGCGCTATTCCTGACTGACACACAAGCAAGCCACTATTGGTTTATATAACAGCATTAAATATTTTTCCTAGGCTGTCAATTGTCTCAACATACAACATCTAGAAAGGTGCAGAGAGTTTACTTTGTAAACTTCTAGAAGTCAGAGATAGGAGATTTCTTTTTAAGGATGTCCTGATTTGTGGGTGGCACTCAACAAACTGAGAGGTCTCTGTTCCGAGGAAGCTCTATCTTGTTGATATACCTTTCCAGTGGCTTTATTAACAACCAGAGTATGTAACCATTTTTCTTCTGGATATGACAGACTGAAATAAGTGAGGTTTTGTGAGAGAATTAATTCACCCATTGCAGGATTACAGATTTAACATTTGTCAATGGATAGTCAATCCCCTTTTAAATAAGCATCACTAAAAGGTCTGTCGGGCCACTGACACATGTTAAAGATGTGATGGGATCTGATGCTCAGTCCCAACAATCATGCCTCTGGCTGTGTCACACATGCAGGGCAAGAGGTGCAGTAGTGGGATTGGAGATTAGTTCCCAAGCACTCCATGCTGCTGGTGCAAGGGAAGCCTTGGACCATGATGCTAGGCTCACTCTAACTGGCAAATAGAAAATTTGACTCCCATGCACTCCTGAAGCTGGAACCACTGGTTGACTGAATGCGGCTCCCAATTGGGGGGATCAGGGAGTCGTTGGCTTCTCTGTTGCAGGAGCAGATGGAGCCCTTAGCTTCCAAGGGTTACCCCAGCTGGGAGCGCTGGTCAGCTGTGTGAAGATCCCAGCCAGGAGGAACACACGGGAGTCAAGGGCTCCATGTGTTCCAGAGATTGGGAGCACTGGCTCAGTATTCCCAGTCACCAGAGCACATGGAAGCCAAGGGCTCTAATGTGCTCCCTAACTGTGAGCCCCTTTCAGTCTTAAATACCTCCTGTGCAGTCCAGGGCTGGAAGCACTGGCCACACATAACATTTAAGGTAGAATAGGAACCAGCCACAAAGTTAGTACACAAACAAAACAAGAAATAAGCCACAAAGTTATTGCACAAAATATGTGTAAAAACTTTGTGGCTTATTTCTTGTTTTATCACACCATAAATTGTATTAATATGTGGCCGGGTCACTACTTAAAATCAGTTAATCACATTTTAAGTGTTAGATCTGTCAGGGGCCCAGGAAATCTGTATCCAGATACAAATCCTAAATTTGGCCACTGTAATGGAAGAAAGTACTGCATTTATTCAAATCCAAGACAAGATTTTTTCCCTTCTTCAACAGCAGGGGGAACACGCCTTGTCTTGGATTTGATATCCAAGCCTGGGGCTAGAGCTAAGAGCTACCAGCGCTGCTGCAATCCAGTTAGTGCAGGTCATGGGCCGGGCCAGGGCTATGGTACAGGATGGGTGGCAGCCTTCGTTGGGTTGGGCAGATAGGTGGCAGTAAAGTGGGGTGGGGGATGGGGAAGCAACATGGGTCAGGGATTGGGTGGGAGATGGAGAAAGGTTGGGGTGGCAGCACAGGTAGGGGTTTGGGTTCATTATCAGTTAAAACATCTTATGAGAGATATTTGTTGGAAAAGGCTTCAGTCTCATGCTCAACTTTATTTTCCTTGGATGACTGATCAAGAACTTCAAGATTTAGATTGCTTTCTTATATTTTGAAGTCATAACTAGGCTGGAACACAGGCCTTAACAACTTTATTGGTGGAACTTGATTGCTTTGATATGCAGCAGTTGAGTAACTCATTTGAGAAACACCTCTTCACCTATCACCTTTTTCATGAATCCATCTCTATTATTGCAATCTTTAAGACAAAATGGTTATTTGTTTTATACTAAGACCTGTAATTTCTTTGTTTCCCCCCATTTTTTGTAATTATATTGTTCACTGTATTCTCTATATTGTTCACTGTATTCTCAAATAATTTTCTTTTTATAGCCTACTATTAGTTGGGAGAAGCTCTATCAGGTCATTAATGAACTATATATATAATCCAAGGCAGATTCCTTTGAGAAACATCATTAGATTCTATAGCCCTGAACAGAAACAGCATCCACAGACGCAACCAATTTGGAAGATGCTGTCAGTTAAATCTTTTTTGAGAGGTCCTCCATCTTATTTATACTAATGCACTGTAAAGAAGGTGCTATAATAAGGCATTAAATATGTTAAAAACACTTGAAACAACAGGTACCACTGCAAATGTTAAACTGCCTCAAAAAAATCAACCAATGAGTTTGTCCATTGAATCCTTAGGAGAAAATCTTCACTCTGTAGAGGTGATATAGTAGTATACTAAGGAAGAGACACACATGGTATGAAAGGTGATAAACCTATTTCAGCCATGTAAAAATTATCAGCCTTCTTGTGCTATTAGGAAACCATTTAGGTTTAGTGGAACCTTTCACTTTGTTATAAATATATAATCTAGAATATCATATACACTTTTTACTTATAATCTTGGTATATTTACTTTATTTGGACCTTTGATCTTTTTAGTTCTTCTGTGGTTATAGAAAGAAAATAAGGTGAGAGGCTTCTGTGCATCTTTTTAGCTTTGGTCTTAAAGATAAAGGGGCAAAGAGATAACTGGGCACCAGCCAAGCTTGCTTGATAATTTTATAAGTGTCAATAGGATACAGGTTATGTTTTTCTTGTAATAAAAATTGTTACTTTAATCATGAAGGGTTCCAAAAGGGTGAGGAACACCACACACAGCTGCATGGTTCATCCTGTCCCAGGCCAACCCATAAGGAAGTAAAACAGTAAAAAGTTGTTTTTTAAGAGAAAGAAAAAAAGTAATTTTTTTCCCCCTTCAGTCTATTTGCTACTGAACAGGTACATAGCATATCACATTTCTTGGATTTCAGGCATGCTATTTAGGTAACAGGTAGAATGGCAAGGCTTAAAACTTATCTGTCAGGCTCTCAAGTGACTCTGTGCAGTTCCCACTGAAGAAGGATACAAAGCAGCTAATTTACTATCACCAGGGGAAAATGTTATAACATAAAAACATTCCCTCCCTTAGCTTCAAAAGTGTCTAGTACCAAGGGAGCCTAAGTATTTGTAAAGCTGATATCATGCATATGCCGCTAGTGTTAACAGTTACACATACACACCTAGCATCTGTTTCTATGTAAAACAGACTTAATCGCCCCAGTATGATTATGGGAAAATCTGTTGTAGATATTTAATGCAAAATAAAGAAATAAAAGGATAAATGTAATTTTGGAGAATTACCGCTACATTACTAGTAAGATTTGAAGGGAAAATTTGCTCTTTATCATGGCTGTCAACAAAATAGTTTATTTCTGCCTTCTGAATATCTTAAAATAGAAATGCTGATCTTTTTTAAGCATGACATTTGGTACTTCTTACAGCCTCTTAATCAAACTTAGAAATGGTTCCTCTAGGAAATGCTTGAACTTGAACGCCATTTCCCATTTGCTCTCATCTTTCTTTCTTGATTGCTATTCCTTCTTCTTTCACCCACATCAGTTTTCATTGCACCTCATTATTTGGCTGGTAAGGCAGAAGAGAAGTCATTTTTTAAAGCTATACCATAAATATTTTTAGGTTGACCTGCAAGGATTCTCTACAGCCTGGTGTAGTATTCATCTCAGTAACAGCAAGAGAGAGCAATACTTCAGTAAAGTACCTGATCTCAGAATTCTTCACATTTTGAAGACATCAAAGATGACTGCACATAAATATTTGGTCTGGCAGCTCATGCATTATAGTGCTTCATTAATTATATGATATTGTACATAAGCAAAGCAAACATCCCATCCCCAGTTCTGATTAAAAATGACATTGGTTGACCTGATCTAACAAGTTCACCAGGCAAGCCAGTTACTATAGTCAATGGTACACAGTGATGTGATTAGCATAACATCCAGCTACCTTTGTTTCTCAACCTGAATGACCAGGTACCCCTTAACAGCTTGGTCAAGTGGGAGTAACCCAACTGGAATGGGGCTTAAACTAATGCTTCAGAAGCTACAGCAAAACATCTTGAATGCTCTGCTATTATCCTCCAGTTGTTCCTACTGCTTGATGTGAAATTATTTGTATTTTTGTGCTAATGTTTGTATCAGATGAAACAGAAACATTAGCAATTATTTTTTTTTAATTGGAAAAGCATGCACAATTGTAATAGGAATGGATTATTCTTGAAGAATGGCAATAAAATCTGCAGTGTGTGGGAAACATGACACCCTTCATGTTTCTCAATAATCAAAATTAAATCTGTTCCAGGTCTTTCTTTTTGCAATGCTCTTTTTTACTCACTTTCATTCACCAGTCCATAAGGTTTAAGTGTTTCTTCTGGTGGAAAAAAAAAATAGCCTTGTAAAACCATCTTGGCATTTGCGTGTGTACACACACACACACACACACACACACACACACTACCACCACCACCACCATGGCTTCCATGCGATATTCATATATTGTATTAACCATACTAGTCAAAAGAAAATTTCAGACATTCTTAAACTTTACTATGTTCATTAAATAGAACTTCTGTAAACATTAACAGATTCATAGAATTGAAAATTTATTTTCTTAAGAGAAAAAAGGAGGGGAGAGAAACCTAAGAAACTGTTAATGCATGTGTATTTTTCCAGACCTTCCTGCCTGCTTTGCTATTGTATAAGTGTTAGTATTGGCTTTTGAATTTTGATCTTAAATTAGGTAGATTTCACACAAGTAAGACATAACTGGGCAGGAGGGACATCTGTTGTATGCAACTTCCTCTCTTTTAATAGAAAGGCACAGATATTGACCAATAAAGTCCTCAGATGATTGTTTCTCTGTTGGCATTGCTAGCAATACATTCTGAGTAAGATGCCTCTGGCAGACATTACACTTAGGATGCAATTAATCTGTTAACTGTGCCACAAATAGTAATCCTGCCATGGGTTCAGGGAATAAATAGCATGGTGAAATGGGAAAATGAGCACAAAAATATTCCACAAAATATGTTTTCAGGTTGCTGAATTAAGGGGAGCCCATCACAGGGTGCAAGGTCAAAGGGAGCTGCAGAGCTCACCCTGACCTGGCATAGTGCTTGCCTTGTTCTACAGCTCCTGCAGGGGCAGAGAAGAAAACCACTTTCTGACGCCAAGTTGTGGTGAGCCCTGAGGTTCCCCATGACTTGGCAGGTTGTCAGTCCCAGCACCAGGGTCTCCAACAATCCCAGTGCAGTCCTGGTCCTGGGACTGATGATGAACTGATTGCAGGTCCCAGCTCTGGCACCACACTAGAGTTTTGAACCAGCTCCTGTGTAGCTACAGGATTACACCAGTCTCGGACTGGCTCCCATTTTGTCCCAGGGCTGGGACTGATAATTATGGGAACGTCCAGACGAGTGCAGCCATGCAGTATGTGGCACCACAAACATATATGCAGGGGTCAAAAAAACCTGCAGAAAAAAAACAAACCAGCAGCACACACACTGGCAGCATGCATTGTTGAAAAGCAGAGCCAGGCCTCCCAGAGCTAGGCTGTGGCTGCCAGACCGGCTCTGCCCATCAGGAGCACCACAGCTGCAGCCCCAGGAAGCCCCCAGGACCCCAAGTAAAGGTGCTAGGGCCATCCCAGTGCTGGCCCCTGCTCCCCCTACTGTCCCCAGGGTAGCTTGCCGTGCACCAAAGTGCGTGTGGCATGGGCATTCCCCAGCGACAAGCAGCTGAAGTGCAAGGTACGCCACTGCTACTTGTCCCCAGGAAACCAAACATTCATGCTCATCTGGACGCAACCTATTTGATTATTGGTTCCAGCCCTGAGACCACATCAGTTTACACATTGACACCCAGCATTCTACTTGCCAGTATACGAGGAGCCAAGGATCATAACCATAATCAGGATCCTGGGCTTCCTCTGCACTGGCAAGTAGTAATGGTGCAATTATGATCAGATCCCTGTGCATCTTGCTATATGATTGTTGGGACTGGGGATCAGATCCCATTGCACCATTATGGCTAGAGACAGAAATTACACATAAACTGGTTTAAGTGATTGGAAACAGGTTCAAATCTAGAACACAACAGAACACAATAGAAGTTCAGTGCACATAAACCGCTTTCAAAATGGCTGATACCAGGTTAAGATAAACCTGGATGGATGCAGCATCAAACTTAACTAATTTAGGTTAAATCAGTTTATTGAATTTCTGTCCCAGATTCTCTCCAGATTCAAGTTTACTTACTTGAAGCATCCCAGGATGCTTTGCACCTTCCTTGCAAACTCCTCATTGCAGGATGGGCAAGCTAGCCTTGGTCCAAGCATTCTGGGCCAGGTGAATAGGGAAGCATGCTCTAGCACCCCCTGGCTTCTGGCCTGGGCCACTGCAGGCATATGACTGCATTTCACAGATCAAAAGTTAATGCCTGTTCACTTGCTTATCAGTTTAACCTATAAAGTTTGAATTGACTCAGCCTTGGGTTTAGCTGTCTGTACTTAGCTTAAATGAATGTGTGCCAAGGGCCAGAAAGTCCTATTTCAAAGTCACAAAAGTCATGCTCTATTCTTTTTCATTTCATCCAGGAGTGGGCAAAATATGGCCTGCGGCCCAGATCTGGCCCAACAGCTGATTTGATCTGGCCTGCAGGGTAGTGCCAGCCAATTGACTGGATATGGCCCTGTAACAGGGGGCCTTCTCAGGGCTGCTTTCCCTGCAGCCTGCCCACCTGTTTCTGGGCTAACAGCCTGCCTTCTCATCTGCCACACCTTTTTGTTCATTAATTAGTTCATTGATGTAATTAAGTGGGAGGCTGCCCAGTTCCTTCCCTGATGCCAGGGGGCACTATCTGCAGCTCCATTCCTCCCCTACACCATAGCCCAAGCCTTGCTGATGGTATCTAGGCGTTATCATAATCACTGGCCCCCACACTGGGCCCCAGAATTCTACTAATTGAACCCCGCCTGGAGTCCTCTCCTCAAGGGGTCTCATCCACCTTCATACTAGGCAGCATAACTCCATGAACCGCTTCCCCTTACGGGTGTGCCCCCCCGGGACCTTTGTGGCTCACTAGCCCTGGCCCACCTCCAGGCCAGTCGGAACCGCAGGCCCTCAGCTCTTGGGTGTTCCTCACAGTGGGCCTGAAACAGGGGGGTGTCCAGACAGGTATGAGTCTATGGCCTTTTCTCTCTCTCTGGGGGGGCCACCCTACAGATCCTCCAAATATGAGGTAACCAACCCGGTTGTGGGGACTAGGGGTTAAGGCACCCCGACCCACCTTTTACTGGGGTGGTAACTAGCCTGGCATTTCCTGGGGGCTCCCGCACCACTGGGAGCCCCACCAAGCTACCTGCTCCTGGCAGGCGATGTTGTTGCCTGCCCTCCAGCAGCAGAACTGCCCTGTTTATATGGGCAGCCCCTGATTCAAAATGGCTGCCCTCATCAGGCACCTGGCAGCTGCCAGCTCCAGGCCCTTAAAGTGGCAGGCACAAATGGTTCCCTACCACAGGCCCATGGCTATCCCTGAGGCACTCTGCATGAGGCCAAGCTTGGTCTGGGGCAGCCAGGGCTGAGTTCCTGCCGGTACCTACCAGCCCCAGCCAGCACACACAATTTCTGGCAGGGCTGTCTCAATGTGGCTGCAGCCCCATGGGCGCTGCTCAGCTTCCCTCACCTCCAGCAGCAGCTCCTCTTCCTGCTCCTCCTGTGTGGTTTCAAGCCAGAGGGGGAGCTGCAGCAGGGCAGCTGCTGCCCCAGCGTGCTGGGCTCTGGCTCCAGCTCCTGGCTGCCTTCCACCTGCTCCACCCACCCAGAATGATGAATAGCCACCTGTGAGCAGGTGGAAGGTGGCCGGGAGCTGGTGTCCCACGCAGTGGGGCAGGAGCTGAATGGTGCAGTAGGGGCAGGAGCAGGAGCAGCCACCACCACTGGGGGTGAGAGGAGCTGCCACACTAGGAGCAGTCCAGCTAGTAAGCTGTGCATGCCGGCCAGGTGGGACCAGCGGGTGCTGGTGGGATGGTGGGAGAGCAGCAAAGGCTGCCCTGGTTGGGAGCTGGCAGGGCTGAGCCCCATGCAGAGCACTATAGACAACACCTCCTGTATAAGCTCTGCTGCGCGCACACCTTATCCCCTCACCCCGGCTGGCTCCTGGGACCTAGCACCTAGGAAGCGCCCCTCACACACACGCACATAAGCCCTCTCCCCTGACAGGGCAGGGGCATACAGGCAGTGGATTTCCTGTCCTGCTCCCAAACACCTCTCTGCCCATGATCCCATCCCACATACAGAGTTTTGGTGAGTTGTTGCATGGGTAGGGGTAGAGGGGGCCTGCAACAGCTCATCAAAATTCTCTATGTGACTTCTGGCCTCAAATAATTGCCCACCCCTGATGTATTGTGTGGCTTTATGCACACCCAACCCAAATATGATTCTCTGAAAATATATTAGCAGTCTAACTGTGGCAAGTGCTACTTAATTCAATGACAGTGCTTCTGAAGGCTAAGGGTGATAAACAAGGATCCTCATATTGTCAGGAACTCTTTTGTAACATACCAGGCTGTGTTCTTCTGACAAGTTGACGTAGCATATTTAGCAGCTAATTTCTTAAACTATAATCAACTGGAAAAGCAGTGACAGCAATCCTGTAGAGTGCACCTGCATTACAAAATGCTCCAGTATATATATATGATATGATATATGACAACAGCTACAGTCAGACACTAGATGCACCGGTCTACATCATGTTTAAGTGAATTCAGTGGCACTTGGATACTCCAATCTGCTTCCAACATTTACAGCCACAGTTCAGTGCATTTGTACAGTTTCAGGAAAGGTTTCAGAGCCTTACTGACCCTCTGGACAGAATGCTAAAACTACCACAGCATGTTCCAGGATATGCATTGGCAGCCTGTTGAATGTCCAATGATAGAAGAGAAGCTGAAAAGAAAATGGATGAAAAAAGTAACATCACGACCAGTGAGGTAAAAAATAAGTAAAGAAACATGAAACTGGTCAGTAAAATAAAGATGACTATTTAACTGATTAAAGAGGGAAAAAGTGGCATTAGTTATGCTGAACTTTAAACTGGAAAGCAGAGGAGAAAGGGAAATTACATTTAAATGTAAAATATTTCTCTAATATTTCATAGAAATAGGTAATTAAAACCAATCGTGATAATAGTCTGTTGATATCCAGTCTTTTTGTCCAAGAAAATTATAGCTGCAGCCTTTAAACTGACATTGTAGGAAGTCCTGTTTAATAATTCTAATAATAATAATTCTGTATTACTTTACTTTATTTTGCTTGCTGTTAAAAGACAATCAGAAAAATATTGCTTTGAATATAATGGCCTTTTTGATCTAAT